AAAAAAAAAAAAAAAAAAAAGGCATCACAGCTGATACTTGATGTAGTGGGTTAAGTAGTAGCCCCTAAAAAGATATGTTTAAGTCCTAACCTCCCAGTACCTGTGAATGAGACCTTAAATTGACATAAGGTCTTTGCAGGTGTAATTAAGGATTTTGAATGACATTATCCTGGATTTAGGGTGGTCCTACTAAGAGAAAGGCCATGTGAAAAGAGTCAGAGGAGGCCAGACATAGTGGCTGACAGCTGTAATCCTAGCACTCTGGGAGGCCAAGGTGGGTAGAGTACCTAAGAAATAAAAAGAATAGCCATGGCTCAGCACCCATAGCTCAGTGGTTAGGGTGCCAGCCACATATACCAGGGCTGGCAGGTTGGAACCTGGCCAGAGCCTGCTAAACAACAATGACAACAACAACCAAAAAATAGGCATTGTGGCTGGCACCTACAGTCCCAGCTACTAGGGAGGCTGAGGCAAGAAAATCCCTTGAGCCCAAGAGTTTAAGTTTTCTTTTTTAATTTTTATTTATTTATTTATTTATTTGAGACAGAGTCTCACTTTATCGTGAGCTGTGACACCAACGCACTCTACCCAGGGCAACATAGTGAGACCCTAAAAAAGGAAAGAAAGGATGGCGCTTGTGGCTCAGTGAGTAGGGTACCAACCCCATAAACTGAGGATGGCAGATTCGAACCCGGCCCGAGCCAAACTGCAACAAAAAAATAGCGGGGCATTGTGGCGGGCGCCTGTAGTCCCAGCTACTGGGGAAGCTGGGGCAAGAGAATCAGCTAAGCCCAAGAGCTGGAGGTTGCTGTGAGCTGTGATGCCACAGCACTCTACCGAGGGCGACAAAGTGAGACTCTGTCTCAAATAAATAAATAAATAAATATTAAAAAAGAAAAAAAATAGCCAGGCATTGTGCTGCGTGCGGGTAGTCCCAGCTACTCAGGAGGCTGAAACAAGAGGAATGCTTGAACCCAGGAATTTGACGTTGCTATAAGCTATGATGATGCCATAGCACTCTACTCAGGGCAACACTGTGAGACTCTGTCTCAAAAAAAAAAAAAAGAAAAGAAAAGAAAAGAAAGAAAGAAAAGAAAAGAAAGGAAAGAATAAGTCCGAAGAGAGGCATGGAACAGACTGTCCCTCAAAGCCTCCAGAGGGAGCCAACCCTGCGGATACTCTGATTTTGACTTTGAAGTTCTGGTCTCCTGAAAGGTAAGAAAACTAAGTTCCGTTGTTTCAAACCCTGCAGTTTGTGGCAATTTGTTATAGCAGCCTTAGAAAACGAATACATTTGCCTGTTTATTCTGTTTACTGTCTGTCTCTCTGACAGACTCCCGAGTCTTAGAAGGGTTTGGAGTTTTCTATTTTGTTCAGTGAACAGAAGCAGCACGGAGTATAGGTCCACAATAAAAATCTGTTGCATGCCCATGTCTTAAGAATTTGTTATGTTCCAGGCGCTGCTTTAAGGGTTTTTACACAGTTTCACTCATATCGTCAAAGCAACCTCTTAGAGCACACTATTATGACAGATTTTACACGGGGCAAATTGAGAAGCAGTGAGAATTCCAACCTACCAAAAGACGTGCCCTGGAAAATTACCAACCACAATAACAAGAATCAAAAGACTAGAAGCCCAATAACCAGGCGCCCTTGGTTTTTCTCTCGGTTCTTTCTCTCTTGCAAAAGGAAGGAATTAACCCGTTTCGACCACAGGAGTCCAGAAAAATCGCGAAGGAATCACCTGCGCATGCGTCCTTACCCACGTTGCATCCTGCCCTAACGCGTGGCCCCGCCCCCTTTTGCATTACAAGCCGCAGCACTTTACGGCTCTTTCCCTTGTTCCTTCAGCAGGAACACGGCCCACCCCTCCGCTCCTGCCCAGAAGGCCCCGCCCTACTCCGCGCGGTTTGGTTGTTGGTTTCTGGAGCCCCACTCTGACTGGCTCGCGTCTCTGCCACTCATTTTTAGCTTAGTGGCGCGCGGAGCGGCGGCGACAGCCAGTAGCGTGAGCTGCGACAGCGGCGGAAGTGGCCGGCGGCTCCGGTCCCCGCCGACAGCATGGTGAGGGCAGTGCAACAGTGGGGTCTCACCGGGAGAAAAGGGTCGCAGCCTTTGGGGGGCCCTCAGGGCCGGTGCTAGGGGCTGGGGTGGCGCGGGGAGAACACGCATTCAGAGCCTTGAGTCCCGCCTCCGGGCGCGAACTGGGGAAACTGAGGCCGAAGACAGCAGGTGGCTTTTCTGGGACGCCACACGTATAAATCATTTAACGGCCTAGCCTGCCTGCCTTAGTCTTCCCGTTTTGCAAGTGGGAAAACTGACACAGAAAGGGAGGAAAGCCGCCAAATGCAGCAGAACGAGTTTTCAGCGGGGAGGGGGCTCCGAGAGCATCCGGCCCGTAGCTTGGGAAGCTGGAGCGCTGGAAAGTAGGGATCTGATCTGAAATCTAAAACTAAGCCAGGTTGGGGAATTTCAAAGCTTGCAAGGTGCTTAGAGTATTAGCAGTACAGCCTCCTATACCTCTCGTTTATTGGCTGAAAAGCAGAACCAGAGAGAGGAGTTGTTTTTCCCTGGGTCACATAGCCTGTTCTAGGGGAAGGGATTATTTAGAGCCAGGGGTGGACGAAGTTCATCTTCCCAGTATACAGAAGGAAAAATAGAGCCCTAGGTCCTTCTCTAGGGCCATGCTATTCACAGTTGTAGAAGTTCTGGGTCTGGATTGGAGCGTCCCAGTGTCCCCAAAGAATAGATAGAGAAACAGTTATTCAGAGCTGGAAGCCGCCTGGCTCATCAGCTCCCAGCCCTTGTGTTTTTAGGGAAAGAAACCAAGGCCCTTGGTGGGGAAGCAACTTCCAGACTCACTCTGAGGCAGAGAGGGCTCTAGAACCAGGAGGACCCCCAAGGGATGCCTACAGGTTTCTCATAATTGAGAATTACCGAGGGTTAGTGCTAAATCCTGCTGGTTGGTGCAGGGATTGAGAGAAGAACCTGTCCCTCTGCTGCATACCAAGAGAGCAGAGTTGGCATGCGAAGATAGGTAGAAGTGGAAGGATCCTTATCTGTGTCAAGCTTTGTGGAGACTGGTTTCATCCCCAGTATAGTCCAGTGTGTAGGACAGTGCCTGGGCAAAGTTTGGACTCATTCATTCAGCCTCTTACTGTCTTCTGAACATTCAGAGTCCTTAAATCCTGGCTCTCCAGAACATTCCTAGAGGAGTAGACAAGGCATGACAGGACACACATTTCTAGTTACTTGTGGTCAGAGCAGGCCAGAGGAGTGGTCTGGGTTTGCAGTAGGGGAGGGGTGCACTGGAAGGCTTCCTGAGTTGGGAGTCATTGTCTTCAGTCTTTGACTGGTCTAGATCTGATGACTAGACCCCAGGTGCTTTAAGAAAACCAACTGAATCTCTCATAACTTACCTAGGTCCAGATAGACCTGTCTCCTGAACAGGTTGGCTGACCTCCCATTTCTCTTGGCACTTCGATGCACCCTTTTTTAAGATTTTGAGGATTCACTCCTTCCTGTGCTTTTTTTCTCCTGCACAGTTTGGGGATAAGGATGAAGGAGAAAGCAGCGTATAGTCTAGGCCTTTGCATCCTTGGAGGGCCTTGGCCTGGGAGCCTGGCTGCTCCCTGTCTCAATGCCACTTCTAATCTGAGCCTCTTCTTTCCTTACCCGTGGTATGGGGCCCGTATTCCGCCTGCCCCAAGTGCCTCCCTGGGTGGCATATGCATTACTCTTGTGTATTGATTCAGCAAATATTGACCAAGTCTCATGTGCCTGGCCCTGTGCTTGGCACTGGACAAAATCCACACCCACCTTGACTTTTCCAGTCTAGCTGGGAAGACAGGTAATAAATAAACAAGGTAATTAGAGACTGGCTACATCGTATAATGGAAACAAACAGCTATGCAGCAGAGGGTAGCCATTAAGAGGGCCTGGCCAAGGGAGGTGCTATTTTAGCAGCTACCAGCAATGGGAAGGTCTGTGGGTAGGGCACCCCTGGTGGAGGCAATAGCAGGGCAAAGGTCAGGTGGCAGGAATGGGTGTGTCAGCCAGTGTGGCTGGAGCCTTTCAGACCTGGCTCTGGCTCGCCTGGGAGGGTTGTAAGTGAGGCTGAGGTGGTCCTGTCTGTCTTAGATGTTTTCTTTGCTACTTTGTGGATGGGGAACTGCCAGTGGCAGCTGAGGCGGCTGTGGGTCCAGTCCTGGACTGTACTACTGGTGTCTGGGACAAGGTAATGGCCTGAAATGGGCTGTGATTGGTGTGGAACGTGTGTCTACTGGTTACCTGCTAACAGGAGGTGGCAGCCTCTGGGCCGCTTTGACAGGGCTTTGCTCTGTGTCCTTGGGCAGGTTCCTCCTGCTAGGGGTGCTAGTGCCTCATCTACAGAATGAATGGAGTTAGACTGAGTCCATCTTCATTCTTGCCTTCAAGAGCTAGCCTGGGCTCGGCGCCTATAGCTCAACCGGCTAAGGCGCCAGCCACGTACACCTAAGGTGGCGGGTTCGAATCCCCAGCCCGGACCCGCCAAACAACAATG